CTTAGAGGCTAGGCTAAGAGTATCAGATTTATTTCCCTTGTTGCTTATTCAGCTTTCCATAATTGAGAAGCTTGGCCTTAAAACATTTCATGCAGCAGATGCTGTTCAAACAAAATAAAACCATACCCAAATAGTCAGAGGTTTCAGCTGCTGGAGGCTGGGCAGCCAAAAGCCTGGCATCCCTCCACTGCTGCTCATTTAGCACTCGCTGTGTGTTGTGCTGAGTTGGAATCCATCTATGTGTCTAATACACGTAAAGAAAAGTAAGCAAATTGTATTGGGGAAGGCAAGGCAGCAAGACGTTTTGTTGTTCTGGTGCTGTCATGATGTCTTTCAAGCCTGATGATGTGGTTAGATAAGGAAAAGCTCACTCTCTCAAAAAGAACCTGCCAAGGCTGTAGGAGATCTGCTTTTAATTCTCTGCTTTGATTCAGGTTTCTTCTCTGTCCCTGGGCAAGTCACTTAATCCCTCAGCTTTATGGATGGAAATGGACAAGCTGGACATTTCCATGCATCACAAGAAATTGAATTTAAAATCGAAGGTGTTCAAATAAGCCTTGTCTAAAGCTAATGCACTACAGATAAAAATCAGCTAATTAAGAACAATTTAAAAAATCCACCACATTAAGTGAATTTGAATCATATTTTGATTTTTGCATTTACTTTCTGTGAAATGAATTGATTAATGTTGGCAATAGATACTGAGATTTTTCAGATAAGCTGGTGTTCAGACAGGATTTTTCAGAGATCAGGCTGGCATGAATTTTAAAAAGGATTATTAATGGGAAGCACTTGAATTCAAATGATTCCTGTCAAATCTGTATCTCGTGATCCTTTTCTAGCATTGAGGAAATTTGTGAGGCAGTCATGTAAGTAGCACTTTGTGCTAGAGCATGATGAACTAGAGGTAACCTCAAATACTTTTGAAGGTACTGTCACGCAATAACTTCTGTATTGCCTAGCTTCCTGCCAAGAAAGAGCTTGATAATTAATGCACTCTCTTCTGAATGCTGGCATAGGACTTTCCCTGAATTGTGTCTCCTTGACTCTATAAACCTAACAAATATCTGTATTTTTATCTGAGGAATATAATAGTAGGTTCAGGGACTTTTTATAGAGTGAATTCAGAAAAGCTTCTCTAAAACAACGGTAGGGACATTCTAAGTACTGAAAAGCTTTATGGCTTTCTTTCAGCTTTCCTTAGATAGCTTTATTGTTCAGTGCTGATGGGCCCCGAAAAGATTCGATGTGACGTGCTGCAGAAATTAATGTCTGCAAATCCCAAACCCAGAGAGATAGATCTTCTTGTCATCAGGTAACAACACAGATGACATTCCCCAATACTTCTTCTAGCACAAGACTTTGCTTTAGCTGTCGTGTTTCTGTGATGGATTTCCCTGAAACTTTAGATTTCTGTGTCTGCATGAATAAACTGAGCACCATGTACTTATTAAACTCTTCAATTCCAGGAAGCACTGTGCTTACTGTAAACAGACTGACTGTTGAACCGAGCATGTGCAACACATCCATCTGCTTCTTGGAAGCATCAGACCTCCTGTGCCACACATGTGTAGAAAATCTGCAGCTTTCGAGAAGATTTAGGATGTTGAATGCTCTTCTGCTGGTCTGTGTCTGTAGAAATATCTGAGATTTAAAGATATTCAGCTGCCGGGTCAGAAGCTCTGTGCATTAGCTTCCGCTAGGTTTCCAGATACTCTGAACACATGAATACATGCACAGTTCCCCTTCCTCACCGTGAGGAATGTGACTTTAAGGCAGAAGATGCCATTTCTGAGGGGAATCTGAATTTACAGCAACCTTCTTAATATTGGCAGAAGCTGTTTGTCTTATGACATTGGAAAAAAGGGGGGGAAATTTAAACCACCAGAGACAGTTTTGCATTTAGTGCCAGTGGGAGAACGATCTGGTCACCTGTGTTGTTTTTATTCTGCATCTCAACAAATGCAAAGTGAGTGCTTATTCCTTACAGGCAAGCACAGTTAATAGGATGTGGTGTGTGACCTAATACATTACACTGATTTATCTCATCCCATGACCCTCTGTAGTCCTTCTGTATTGCAAATGCACGAGACTGGATGCAGTCCCATTTGTATTTTAATTGGCAGACTGCCTCTGAAAATCCTGTCACTTGTTGCCACCCGAGATGGAAAATGTGCAAGACTGACTAGTACACATTTTCCTTTGGGAGAAGTTTAAGCCTTTGTAAGAGTAGGGAGTGAGAAAATATGGTGAATAAAAGTCCTAGCTTGGAAATATTAGTGTAACAGCAACATTTTCTCATGCCAGTAAAAGGAGCTGGTTCTTTTTAAAACTTTCTATATGTGCCATGATTTTCTTACAAAATTCTCAACTATAAAGAATGTCCACTGTTGTCTTGGTTTTATGTGACTGTGATATCCTGTTTGAATTTGTTTTCCAGGTGTAGAGTAATGAATATGGAAGTACTGCCCTCCTAATCTTATTTGTGCAGTTGAAGTGAAAAAAGTTCTGTAATACTTCAGAAGCAATGATGTTATTTGGTTAGTGACGTTGCCTCTTTTAGTCATTTAACCTAATTTTGAAAAATGGCTAAGACTATTAAAAACAAAAACAACCAAAAAATCAAAACACAAAAACCCCAACAAAGCAAAAAACCAACAAAAGACCCAACACCATTTTATGTGCACCGAATGTGTACACTACCACCACCACCCCTATTCAAACCCGTGAGCTTTGCTCTCAAGCTTGTTTGTTTTTTTTTTTTTCAATCAGAAAAAGCTATTCTTCCTTTTCCTGGAGTTTTGATGTTGGCCATTTCCAAAATTCTTGATTTCCATCTTTGCTATAAGTAAATCTGCCTTCCTTCAAATTATGATCACAGAGAAGTTGAGGGAAGAAGCACGCTGAAGTCACTGTCTATTTTGTTGTGTATCATTTTACAGCCACGAAGACTTGTGATGCCAGCATAGCTCTTCACAGATCTCCAGTAAATCCCCTACCCCAGAAGGTCTTCCACAGACAGGCAGACAATTAGTATTTTCAGAGTGCTGCTAACTTGTTAAAGTTGTTTAACAAATGTTGAAGTAGTGTGTGCATTACAAGTGACATAATTCATCTTTTCAATAAAATAATAAAAAGTTCAGTTTGCTTGGCAATATTCAAGATTTTTCTATTTAAACTTACATGAGTGGCAAAATCTATTCATTGAAGACAACTGGTGAAACATTTGCAAAGGACTGGTGTAGTGTGTAAAACAGAGGTGGGTTTGTTTGGTCAGTTTTTCAAAACTGCATGATATCTCATCTTTGACTTTTGGGGGCATTAATATACCACCTACAGAAGTGCTTTTCTAAATCCTACTAAAAACTCACCTAATCTTTGGGTTTAGGTGTCGTTGTAAGTCTTGACATCAATTTGAATCTTATGTGTAAGTGGGACCGCTGTTACTCAGAAAATGAAATAGTGGATAGAAATCTAAAGTTACAAATTTTCTCCTGCCATGCATTGACTTAGGCATTATCTGAAGGCCTCTCATTTGGACAAGACAAAGCTGGGTGAACTTGTGCTGATCTTGTGGCTGACGAATTTGCTGCTGTTCTGCCCCTGCCCCTTTTTGGTCTGAGAATCCTGACTCTCTTTTAGTGAACACATAAAGCCTAACTTGTCCCTTTAAACATAAGCACAGTGGAGTCAATGTGTCTGCTCATAGGTAGTTTGCTAATATTTGTTGATTTTAAAAGAAAGAAAAGCCAACAAAGTTGTATATGTATGGGTGCAGTACAAGGGAAAGTTTCTCTCAGGTGTGTCTATTCTTCCAGGTACTCCCTGTTCTCCGATCCTTATGCTCTGATGTTTCTCCTATAGCTGCCCAAATTGCCTCTATTCTTCTTTCTAGTCTCAAGAGCTTTCCTTACCCTGGTTTTACTCCCAGCAAGCTGACTGTGTAGCTTAGCTAAGAACCCATCTTCAAGGATGACTGCTCTAGATGACTGCTGGTTATGCACAATCAGTTTATATACATGAATATAGAATTTAATCATCCCAGACTGAGCTTACAGTACAAAGATACCTCCAAGCCACAACTCTCCTCCAAGTCACTGCCTATTGAAACCAGGAAGGTGTTAGGGAAAAAAAAAAAAAATTACTACAGTCCTTTCAGGCCAACAAATATGAGAGGAGAGTCAGGGCATTACCTTCTCCATAGCTGCATACACATTATCATGGGGAACACCTGGACGGTGTAAAAGCTACATAGCTTTAACTCCTCTCAGAATATAGAAAGTAGCATCTATTTCTCCTCATATTCTTCTTTAGCTGAATACAGACAAGGCACAATTTAAGTATGAATGAAGATTTTGGTTTTTTAGATTAAAGGGGTTTTTGCTGTAAATCAGATAACTGGCCACTAGAAAGATCAGCCTACTGAAGATTGATCTAGATATTGTAGCAGTGCAGTAGTACTGTGATCAATCTCTGCTGTGCAGAGACAGAATTGTCTCTTTGTTCCTATCTATTGCTAATAAATACAAGAATGACTGCAGGCTCCAGTCATTCTTGTATTGGAAGAAATGGAAATTTTGCTGATTGAAATTCATGGACTTTTCATCCTAGAGGATTTTTTTTCCCCATCCTCTCTGATAATAACAGCAGAAATAATAAATGTTCTGTAACTGAAAAGGTAAGATTTTTTGAAACTGGATGCATCTGTTTTAGATAGGCCGTTTATCCCAAACTCCACATGTAAGAGGAAAGGAGAACTGTAATCCCTCACCTCCTGGAATCTCAGAATATTATCTTGGTTTTTGCTTCTATGTGCTAGGCTTTTTTAATTATCTGTTGAATCTATATTTGCATGTCACTCTTTCAGCCGAGTGTTGACATGACTTTGCCAACTGGGATTTCCCTTGCTAGCAGTCTTACAAGCTTTATTACATTAAACACAATTTGCAGTTGCTCTAAGTTATGAAAAAATAACTTAGATACTCTTTGTCTTTTTCAAGGAGTAACTGGGTGACCTCTTACAGAGTATTGGTGAGCAATGACAGTCATGCATGGACTGCTGTCAGAAATGAATCTGGAGATGTGGTGAGTATCACAAAACAGATGTTTTATGAAGAAGAGCAGAGATGAGAATGTGGGGGCTGTCTACATGGAGTTTTGATTTGCCAGATTAGTCAGCGTAAGACTACAAGGCAACATCTCTCAGTGATCCCACTAATTTTAAGAGCAGATCACAGAGAGGACCCCAGAATATCCTGTATGACAAATCTGCTTGTGTCTGCCTGTGGGTGTGAATGGCACCCGGCAGTGGTCCTGCCTGCGGTGAGATATGTTTCTTGTTGCATGACCCATGCAAGGGTTAGCACCAGTCTGCTGGTACTGAGGTGCCTGTGAGGTGTCTTTTGTTGGAGAGAGGGCATGGAGCTCTGACTCCTTTGCCCCTTTCTGAGTAGCATGCGGGGATTTTGCTCTTTGAAGAGCAGTTCTGGCCTGAGAACAAGGCTGGGGCTGTACCAGGTAACCTTATTTGTTTCTATTACCACAAGTGCTAAAAGACATTTTGAAGAACTGATCTTGCCATTTCCATATGTTTGGCCTGCATAGATTTTTGAAGGAAACAGTGAGAAAGAGATCCCAGTTCTCAATATGTTGCCGGTGCCACTGGTTGCACGCTATATCCGTATAAACCCCCGGTCCTGGTTCGAAGAAGGTAGCATCTGTATGAGACTGGAAATCTTAGGGTGTCCTTTGCCAGGTAAGAGTCTTTCTCAGTTGATGTTGACATGGCTGCCTGTGCCAAGACTCAGAAATTTTATTTCCTTTGGATATCTTCGTTTTTGATATAGTACCTGTCTTTAGTGAGTGGAGTTGTGCAAAAAGAAACAAAAATGTCTATCCAGATACACGGACAGTATCAGGATAATTCTTCAAATGCAGCTGCATAGTATCTATAAGTGGCTTTATTAATAAAACAAGATTGCATGGATGATCTAACAAGATTTTTTTCTGTTGTTTGGGCTGAAGTGCAGTGCAATCAATCTTACTGAGTGCTCAGGTACTAGGGAGGCAATAGAATTACATATCGGAACAGTCACTTGTAGAAGTCTTAAGCTTCTAAGGCAAGAAAGAACCATTATAATTATATCATCTGATTTTTAATTTTTTTTCCAATTATTATTTGATTGTATAGGTCGTAGGGTTTCCCTGAATTAATTTGAAGGCAAATACTGTGACTGAACTGGTGCTTATCTTGTAGGGGGAGGGAGGGGAGTTGGGGATGTAACGAATTTCTAGCAAATTTCAAGTGTTATTGAATCCAGCACGATCCCTGGTAAGTCTCAGGTGAAGATAAATGGTCCTATCTTGGTAAAGACTGCGGAAAAGACACAACGTGATGTTTAGCACAAGCTTCAGGTGTTAGCTCTTCCTCTTACCATATGAGTGCAAAATAGAATCAGGCTTTTGCTAAAGAGTGTATACAAAGTGAAACCTTATACAAGGCCACTTAAAAAAAAGGGCATGCAATTATGGCAAGACCACGTTACTATTAAGCACATTGTAAATAGTCTTATAGTGGATTTGTGTCTACATATGCATGTATATATATAAATATTTGAAAAACTTCTTGTTCAAACCATTTCTAAGTTGCCCGCTACTCATTCTACATCTCTCATCTTCTTTTTTTTTTCCTTTGATCTTAAACTCTGGCACCTTGGGGATAGCTCTCTCTTTTTTTTTTTTTGGCAGAGGGCTATGAATAGTATTTTCAGAAATACTAAAGCCAGAAAGAGAACTGCCTTTCCAGAGCCTATCATTACTGCTTTATAAGTTCCTGCTGCTGTTCAGAGACTTGCTGCCTCCAATTCCACTGTTAATGTAGGGTCTTCATATGCCAAGCAGAGGTAGCCTGATTTTTGTCCTTTAGATGTTTAAATACTCATGGGAAAAAAAAAAAATAAGCAGGGGCATGGAAGGGATAATTCTCTGACAAAGAGAAGTCTGGGGCAAATATTGTCATAAAACTTAATCTGTAGGTGTGTTACCGTGAAGCAATGAAAGTTAGCAGCACTTAGACAACTGCTCTTCTGAGGGTAGCAAATACATCCTGGACTTGAACGGCAGTGACCAGGGGTGTCCTGTTGATGTGAATATTCGTGTTTTCAGGAGGATTCTGATTTATTTCAACGGTGGGCTTAGAAAACTCCAGCTTTGTGGGTTGCTTGTTTCCCACTGTACCTTTTACCCTGGAGGGGCGATTCCAAAGGCAGTTTCCCCTCAGCTCTTGAAAGGACCGGTGGGCTGTGAGAGAGCAGTGATCTATCCAAAATTCCTGTGTGGGTTTGCAGAGGATCTACTCTCTCTAACACAGGGTGTGAGGCTGAAGGAAAAGCATAACTCTCTTCAGCACCATGACTTTACCAGCATGCAGGACGCACATGGAGATCTCCAGGGAATAACAGAGAAGACACTCCAACAATTTTGGAGAGCAATTTGTAGGGCAATTCTCACGATCCTTTCCTATTCCATCAAACTGTACTTAAATAGGAAAGAGCAAAAACGTTGATATTTGGAAAGGTGATTTTTATTAAGTGCAGCAGTTATTTACACTAGTTTCTTACTGGGTATACACCTATACAGGGCCAAATTCTGCTTTGCAGCGTTAGCATTTGTCACCCTTCAGCTTCACGGGGCTGTATCAGTGGGTGAAGGTGCTACCGAGGTAAGAACATCTCTCCACTTCCACCACTGTTGCAATGAGTTGCAATTACAATTTGTTGCAGTTACAGCTTGTTTGCAGGTCTTGGATTAGCATGGAAACAGCATCAGGGCTTCTTCCTGGTAGTCATTTATTGAGTTAATTGCCTGCAGTGGCTGATTCAGTTTATTCCCAAAAGAAAATACCGGAATCATTCATTGAGAAACACAATGGGAATGGGGTGTGTTTGTTCAAAATGTAATTGGACTGAAAGAACTAATAGGTTTTGATAAGCTGCTGACCCGTCTTTTTAGCTCAGAAAGAACTGGCATTTCTTTCTTCTAGCTCATTTTATTCATCGCACGCAAGGCTCTCGAAACAAAGCTGTTCCCCAGGTTGCAGAGGCCTTTCCATGCACGTTTGCTTCCTGTAGGACATGATTTATTTTTTGCAGCTCCCTGTATCTGGATTTCTTTACCCTTTATTGGTGTCATCTTACTGGTTCCAAATTAGATAACCGACTGGTTTGGCTATGGGCCCAGCCTCTTTGGTAGCACTGCCAAACTCTGTATTGACTATACAACTAGAAATCAAGGATTCTTTTCTGACAGAGGTGTCCTCCATAACACTGAGCAAGTCTCTCTCAAAATTCATCAAAATTAGGAGGTGGAGCTCTGTCAGTTCACACACCTCTATCCTTTCCAAAGACCTATGAAAGAAGTTACGCGGTGCTCAGTTTCCTTGAATGCCTGGTGTGGTTTTGATGATATTTGCAGCCTGATTGCGAACATACAAGAAATCAAGTTGTCAGGAGGAGCAGTTTGGTCATGTTCTAGAGCTCCCATGCACCATGTCTTCCTGAGGCAATGACAATGCACGGGCAGATGGGGCGTAGGGAAATACCCCAAGAAAAAAAAGTGGGGCTGAAGGAACGTAAGTCATTTTTCATGACTCTGAATTTCTTTTCATGTCTTTTAAACTTGTAATGTTAGGCTTTATGTCTTTATTAATCCCTGAATAGATTAAGTGATTTGCTTTCAGTCTGTATTCTATATCAGCTTTCCATCATGTAGGCTCACAGGGGAGGGTAGGAAAGGAATACTAGATAAAGAAGAAGCCTGAATAAGGTATTAATATTCTAGGAAAGCTTGTTAGCACTGGCAGAATATGATGGAAATGGTTAAAGACAGCTAGGACCCATTCCTGTGGGTAGGGCTCTGTTAATAAAACCTGCTGCATATGCTAGGTGCACTAAAAGTTGGACATATTGTGAGAAAACACTATGTCGATAATTGGAACAGAGAAGTTACTGATTATCTAATCGTTATTATATAAGGTGATTGTAATTTTTATCAGTGCAATGCTTATATATTATGCATAACATACATTTTTGGTGTATTGTAGGCTAGTTTTGTCAAAAAGCCTTTTCTAAACTATTACAGTAGCTCTACAAAAAAAAAAAGCTGTGTTAGCCGACTGTGTCAGTACCATCTTTCAGGGAACAGAAGCGATTTGATGTTTCACCAAGGGAAAAATACTTAGCTGTGGAGGAAAGATGCCAGAAATTCCTACTTATAGCAGAGGATCAGTGCTGCCATTTCTCGCTAGGGAAAAAGAGGACAAAAGCACCAGCATTTAATTCCCTTTCCAGTTTCCAAAAATGTTGGTATTTACATAGATGTAGACTGACACGCACAATCTTTTACAATTGCCTCAGAGGGATGGATGTACTTTCCTTGCTTGTTCTTTCTCAAACCTAAGGAAAATCAAAAAGAAACTGCATATGATCAAAAGTACCCAGAGATAGGAGAGGGAAAATTAGCTGAGCTCTTCATGCATTTATTTATACAGTAGAGTATTCAAGGCAATAGGCAATTATTTTAATGGAATGAATTTGTGATTAAATTTAATTTTTAATAATTCTTATATAGAAAACTATCATTGGTATCATGATTATGCCATCACTTTCAACCCAAGATAAAAAATGAACTTTAACTACTCTGTAATGGAGTAGTATGTTTTGCAGTGGATGCATCATTCAGTCCTGTTTTCATTGCTTGTCTCTTATTGCCAGGCTACCTGGTTAAGTCTAGAAGTGTGCTTATTTTGTATAAAACTGTGACTTTCTACAATTATCTTTCATTATAAGTGATTGTGTATACAACAGTACTAAATTCAGCGACCTACTTGTGAGAGTAAATTTTTGCTCAGAGTGACAGTCTATCCCCGTGTACTGGTTTTATCATTGCAAAGCTAAAACTTAATCTTGAGCAATTTAAAACTTTTTGGGGAGTTTGCCTGAGCAAAGACTGAATAAAAATGAGACCAAATTCAATAATTCCCCTGGAAAAGGCCAATGTATTATGTTTCTCCGTATTCATTAAGACAGATGTGTAACATGTCCCAGCAATGCAGAAAGGTTTTCTTTCATATTTTATTTATAAAATGAAGTGTATACTATTCTGAAGAAGTATTAACTATCCTCAGAATTACCATTATTATCAGAATCAAACTGTAGGAAATCATTAGAAAGATCAAATGTTGGTAGAAAACCTTTAAAAAGCAGGTTAAGAGTTTAGGTTTTCTCTTACCTGTTGTTATCATTCATTATGCCTAACTGGAATTAGTTTTTCGATATATGACCATATATGACCATACATCAACATATATAGAAGAGAATCCATCTATAGTTGAAGAATATTATTTCATTGCTGATTTAATGTGTGATGTTAATGCTTACGACTGCCATGAGATAGATCACGTGGAAAAAAACTAACGATCATCTGATATGTCTGCCAGTGGATTTTTTCAAGATTACACATCTGCTGTCAGTGACATGTTCAGTTTTGTGAAGACAAGTCAAATTCACTTATATTACACGGAAATGAAAAAATCAGTCATTTGCAGAATTGTATGTTGAGGTTTTTCAGGCAGTCTAAAGGATTTAGACTAGAACATTCTTTTTATTAAAAACTTAGCTAAATCACTTGGATTGACTTCATTATCTCCTCTATTTGGAGCACCATATGAGCACCACTTCTGAGCTTGTGAGCTCCATCAGTATGATACCATACAACTCACTGTAGGACTTCTGTAAGAATGAAGCGTATGAACAAATCGTGTTGGGAATGGATGCAAGTTTTACTTACTAAATGAGAGCATTTTGATAATATTGTTTTGTGAGTGTTGATTTCATCTTCAAGTCATTGCAAAGCTCACTCCATACCTTTCCAGTGCCAGTTAGAAGAACACTGAAAACTAAAGGAGGGAAAAAAAGAGCAACACACATTGTTGTTGCTAGCAAAATAACTGGATACCACTGGAATCATCAGGGCTCCACTGCTTGAGGTGCTGTGTAGAGCTGTAATCTGACAGCAAATCCCTTCTGTCAGTCAAACTGCTGAACAATTGGTCACAGAATCACAGAATCGATTTGGTTGGAAGAGACCTCTGGGATCATCGAGTCCAACCTTTGCCCTAACACCACCATGTCAACTAGACCATGGCACTAAGTGCCACGTCCAGTCTTTTCTTAAACACCTCCAGGGATGGTGACTCCACCACCTCCCTGGGCAGACCATTCCAATGCTTAACCACCCTTTCTGTGAAGAAATGCCTCCTCATTTCTAGCCTGAAATTCCCCTGGCGCAGTTTCAGACTATGCCCTCTTGTCCTCTCACTAGCTGCCTGGGAGAAGAGGCCGACCCCAGCTGTGCTACAACCTCCTTTCAGGTCGTTATAAAAAGGTACATAAAAAATACCTGGTCCTCTCTAGTACTTTTTATGGGCAGTCCCCAGAGCTCTCATGCTGGAAAGTAGTTGGGCATTTTAGAGCTTCCTAGTCACTTGTCCATCTTTACAAACAATAGAAGCATGAAAGTAACAAGCTACCTTTACCTACAAATTTAATTAACTCTACTGGTAATGTGAAGATAGATTAGTGGTAGAAAAAAACTAATATATTCCTCTGTATAAATGAGAGTGTCACACTTTTGCAGGATTTTTTCTCCTTGGAAGAAAGAAACTGTCTGAAGTAGTGCCATGAATAAATGAGTGTATTTCAATTCTAATTCTTCTGTGGTTTGAGCTTCTTAATCTCTTACTCTCTGTTTTACTAAAGAAAATAATTTTTGCCAAAGTGGACCTAACCAGCTGTGCACAAGACTTGTTTGCCTTTCTACATTTTAGCTTTTAATTTTCTAGTCTGTATTCCTTCTGCAGCAGAAATCCAGTGATCCAAGCAGACTCCCAGTAGAGCTTGGCAAAATATGAGTATTAACTCTCTAGGGAGCTGTCAAATTGTGCACTGTTTTTGAGGAAGGACCAGAGATACAATCATTCCCACTGTACAATTTTTTGAAGTTTCCACCAACTCTGCAGCATTCACAGTCGTTCTCATGATATTAATGTTTGATGTATGGAAAAATGCCAGACTTTGAAAGGAATGGGATTAAAGTATTAGGAAAAAATATCGGTTGCTGTATATTTTGGCTCATGGTGATAGAGAAAGCTTTCAACATCCTGACAGTTTTATGATGTTTATTTTTATATTTTTATAACAGAAGGATATTTTTACAATGGTGAAGATATTCTATGTGGCATTAAACACATTGTTGCTTTCTAGAAGAAGTGGGTTTTTTATGATTTCCATTTCTTGGTCATCAATATATTAATAAATGATTTCTATGAATTAACATGGGTTGACCTTTAAGGGCTTGGCATTCCGGAGTCATCTGCAGGGTTAGTACAGCATCATTGCTGTCAGTGGACTTGCAACAATTTAGCCTGCAGTTAGGTTGGAAAGAAGACCTAAAAATGCAGGTGAATTATGTGAAACTTAACCCTCTTGATTCTTCAAAACTTCTTTTTTTAATAACCAAAGAAATCTTGTTTCCTCGCCTGATTAGGCTCTAATTCAAATCCATTTCCAGGTGATCTTGTTACAGAATAAATTGTCACTGGAAAGGACAGACTGCATTGAACAACCAGCTTCTGTTGAGGCAAGATGGGTTTTTTGATGTTTTTCAGTCATATTTGTAGAGCAGTGTTCAACTGACCTTCCAGTATTTCTGCTGTAGATTAGGGAATGGAATTGGAGACAAGCATGGGAATGAAGTGTAAATAAGTGATAGAGAACATGGGTAACCTTACGCTGAAGCTTACTGGAACTTGCATTTTCATTTTGTAATTAGTTCAAATTTTGCTTTTCTTCCACATAAGAAAAATGCCCAAATACTTTTAGAATTTTATGGGAAGAGCAAATGTGAGAATTTAGAGGTTTTAATGTCAGAAATATGAAGCTTAAAAATGTTAAGTCATAAGATATTTTTAAGTGTTATGAATTTTCCATAATTTCATTAGTTGTTTGTTGTTGCAGGATAGTATCTATGTATTCTTCCTACTAATAATTATGGGGTTTTTCCCCCAAAAAAATTACAACTGATAGGTGATACTGTTTAAAAAAGTATTTTTTAGAGACAGTGTCTTTTGGTTGTGTTGCAATAAGACAGGATGATATTTAGCCTCTCATATTTGGTTTTTTCCCCAATAATTTTAAACCAAATGAAGATGATTTTTCTGCGAAGGGAAACAGTTTTTCATAAAAGCCTGACAACCACTGGTTTGACAAATGATTACTCAAAATTCCAGACGTCCCAGATACAGCAAATTAAGGAACGTATCTGATGTTTTCCAAAGAGGCTTGTTTATCTCTAAAAATAGATCATAATAGATTAGCCTAGGAGCACATATATTAGGAAATATAAAACTGAGCCTTAGCAGTCTTGGTCTGGTTTTTTTTCCAGGTGACTGTCCTGGAAAGTCAAGGAAACAAAGTTTTTGTTCTGTCCACATACTCTCCTTTGATACTTCAAAACACACAAGTTCTAAATTATATCTGTATAGAAATGAATATGCTAATTTTAAAGTAACAAAGATCTCCGACTTCCACAAAAAATGGCTACAAAGATAATCAGGAATGTTTAATATGCACAGGAGAACCTTTCTGTATTTTGCAAGCAGTGCATAGACTCTGAAAATACTCATCAAGAAAACTAAAAGATAATTCCTTGTAATAGTAAATTAATCAAGTAGACATAAAACATTTACTGAGGCTTTTTCCTCTGATGTGATTTTTTTCCACTCTTTTGTCTTGCATCTGACTCATCATTTTCCAGTGTCTTTTTCCCTCCTTTGTAGCCTAAGGATGCCCTTCTGCTTTTCTGTTGAAGCTTAGTTGTTCGTGCAGAGTAGCTGTCTAGCAAGCTGGTGCCTGCTGTCTCCTTGCTTCTGTTTGGATCTATATGAGCTGACTTGTGCAGTAATTAGAAATATTTCAAATTTGTTGTTTCTTTGAGTTTTGCTTTTGCAAACCTGTTCTAAATACATATATGACAGTGGAATTCAGATTTCCACATTCCTTGCATGCATTATGGCTAAGCATCTTTATATTTGAAATTCATAAGCACATGAAAATTCTTTCGTTTCTTTTCTCAGACCCAAATAATTATTACCACAGAAGAAATGAAATGACAACCACGGATAATCTGGACTTTAAGCATCACAACTACAAGGAAATGAGACAGGTAGGCAAAGAGGCTGGTGTGTGACCTCCTAGATGGAGGGTGGATGGGTGCAGGCTTCTGAGCTTTTATGGAATCTGAATTCTACCTGTTAAAAAGAATATTAAATGATGTCTACAATCTATTTGAAAAATCTTTTTTTTTTTTTTCTATTTTAGTCTGTTAAAAGCAGCAATCTATTAAAATCCCAAAGTCTTCATTTGTACATCATCTGACCTTAAACAGATGACACTACATGACAGAAGGACATATTTACACATAGCGTGCCATCATTTTACTTCCATGTATATATGAGTAGTGAATGTTACAGTGGTTTCTCCTTTCAGACTTGACCCTGACTTACCCATCAGAATTCTCCTGTATTTCAGAATAAACTATACAAAGGTTAATTCTGTATTCACAGTTGTGAAATTCACAAAAAAAACCACCAAAAAACTCTAGAAAAAAAATTCTGTTGATATTATTTTAAATCAGTCAGCCTTGTTAATCTTGTTCCTTTAACTTCAAATGGGCCATGTTGTTTTTGTTTTTAATCTCGCTTCATATCACCATAGGCTTAGGTGTGGGTTACCCTAAAGAAATATTTCTGCCTGCTTTCTCTTCAACTATAAAGATAATATGTTTAGACTTGAAGTGTGTGAATCATTTACTGTGTGCTGAATTTTCGGTGTATTTATACTGCATGAATCACCATTCATTTTTATTGGGCAATTGTGTACTGAGTCACACATTTATTTCGGTAGAGATTTTGTGGCCTATATTTCTTAGCACAAAGATTAGACAAGTAGAAACTCAATTGGCATAATTACTGTCAAGAACAATAAAATAAAATGTATTTTAGATTCTCATTGCAGGAAGACAGGTTGGTCAGGTTAGGAATATCTTCAGGAAAAAAAAGCAGCTTTAAAACAGAATGTTTTTCCACTTTTCAAATAAGTAGAAAATTTGCTACTGTGGCTGGGAGCTGGTCAGTTGTGAACTGTCTTTCGTTGTGCTCTCCCAATTTCTGTTTTTCTCTGTGTCAAAATAGTTAATTTATTTAGAGCTCAGTTGATTCTCATTAGGTTCTGCTGCTGATTGAAAATTGTGGGTTAGATTGCAGTAAGTCTTATATCCCCCAAACTATTCTTAGAACTTCTTAATTTCTTTCCTGAGTGTAAAATGGAACAATAACTGTCAGTTTCCAGAGTAAACTTAATTTTTTAAAAGTACTGCGCATTACTGTCAGTTTTGTTAGCTATTTCACTACCAACCGTCTTAGAAAAATGCTGATCTTTGAAGTTATTTGTCCTGAACACTGAAGAAGGAGGAGGAGACGGTGTTCCCTGGGCCATGTTTTGGAAGCATTAAGTTACATTGCAATGTATCAAGTATTTGTGAGAGGGAGGGATTTTCGCAGTGTCAGATTATTTTAATAGAACTCTCTGTTTAGGAAGATTAAATTTATAGTGCCAATTTTTCCTCTTAAAAGAGCATTCAAGATTCTTTCAGTCAGTGGCAACACTCGCTGTACCTCGCATGCAGAAGTCAGGATTGTCTTACAGTCCGAAATATTTACATGATGTATTCATGCTGTATAGGAAGCTGTTAAAATGGTTGATGGATATCCCCAGAAATACTTTGAGATGGATATTTGAGTACAACCTTTTCTTTGAAACAACAAACCCAGTTCATATCTTTTTTAGAAAATAGGAGTGTTAATTTTGAAATCCGTATAATTGGATGTGACTCATATCATTGGACAAGCCAGACTCCAAGCAACCCTGAAGTCTTGTGTTGCTCTTCATGGTCAGCTGCATTTATGGACTTGATGTAACGATAATACAGAACATTGAAGAGCACTGTATCTATTACCAATTGAACAGGTTTATTTGAGGGTGAAACAACCAAATGTAGAAGACTAGAGTGATACCCAACGAACATCCTAGGTTGCATGCAATGCCAGGTTGACAGTCTCTATCTGATAGTCTCTGCACTCAAGGAGGAGGTAGTTTCTGGTTTGACTTGGAACAGAACAAGAAATACAAATATCTTGGTAGTGTGAGGTTAACAGTTGGACTCAGCAATCTTAAGGGCCTTTTCCAACCTAAAGGATTCTATGATTCTATGATCTCCAGAGAGGATAAAGAATAGCCCTGACCTGAAAGGCATTGACTGAGAGTCTCTAAGTGTGGATGGCCTTACATTAAATACTTACATTAAATACACCTTTTCTGCAAAATGGTGAATTGGACCTTCAGACACCAGTTTTGCAGGGTTTCTTCAAAGACTGCATGCAGTCTTTTTCCAGGACGCTAACAGGGTAAATAATCGGTATCAACAAACAAATAGGAACTGTCAAATAAGAACTGTTAGTGAACGTAATTCTCAAAGTGTTTTGTAGTCCTGGTGGTTGTTAATAAAACCCTGGCTGACTGTTCTCATCAATTGTCCTTGACAGTTTGTACAAAGCACAGAGAAAACACTGTGACATTCCAGGTGACCTATCGTGCTGTTTGTAGGAAATGAGTATGAGAAAAGCAAATATGAAATACGTTCATTTTCAGTATTGTATTTACATATAAACAGTTAACTACGTTACTATGTCCATACTGTTATCAAAAGAGCCACAGTGAAGTCTACTACAGAGGCCCTAATTCAGGAAACGTCCTTTCTTTGACTCAGTAAGCAATCACATGCTTGCAGTTAAAGAGATGACGGGGAGTTTACTGAAGCCAATACAAATATTTCCACTGATTGTAATATACTTTGAACTTGATTCTAGGCATTTTTCTCACTAGTAATGAACATTTAACATACTTCTAAATGCTTTTCTAAATTGATGTTCTTGGTATCCTGTGCTTGCTGAAGTACCAGGCACGTTAGGAAAGCATCTGCTCTGCAGCTTGATTTCAGAGACAGCTCTAAGAGGACAGGCTCGTCTTCTCTATTTCACATCTTGGAGTGCTGCGTGGATGCAGGGATACAGCAGCCAGGAGGGAGTTTCCAGCAGTTAGAAGAGGGTGTAAGGAGAGGAATTAGTAAACACGGGGCTGAAACAGTAACATTATACATTACAGAAAGCTGGTTTTAACCTGCTGAAATAGACCTTCTTTTAATGCAATATCTGTACTCATTGGCAGAGTGAAAAAAAAAAAAAAAATTTAGTAAACATGGGGCTGAAACAGTAACATTATTTATACATTACAGAAAGCTGGTTTTAGCCTGCTGAAATAGACCTTCTTTTAATGCAATATCTGTACTCATTGGCAGAGTGAAAAAAAAAAAAAAAATTATCTCTTTTGGAGAAAAACATGATCTCTGATCCAATAATAATCCATTTCATCCTCTTGTCAGTAGGATATAAACTGGTAATCCCCATGCAGTAGACCTTGGGTAAGTTTTGGTATGTGAGGCTCTCGCAAGAGGTCCATAGCTCCGTATCCATTAACGGTATTTTTGGTTCATAATGAGCAGATTGACCATGAAGATTTAAGGCAATCTGTCTCAAAAAGTTAGACTTGTTTCAATCAAACACCATAAAACGTAAAACAGCATCCTCTGACTTCACCTATATGTTTCAGCTGGAACAACAAATGCTGACGTACCTACTTATGTATGACCAGAATGTTAAAGGGAGTTCCATGGAAATATCTATGTACCCATAATACCAGCACACTGATGATGATGACAGTGGTGAAAAAAAGTAGATATGAAATTGGACAATACCCCGAAAGAGCATAACTGACTATATTTTTCAGACAAGTACTGAGTTTAGATTTGCGAAAGAAATTGTTTCTCATATGTATAAAACCAACGTGTGAGATGAACAAACGTACAAAACCAGCATCTTTTTGGTCTCTTTGCAACATGATTATAAATAGAAATGAAGCTTTTTATGAGAGGAATTTTAATGATGTTCTTCCCAATGTGAATTGTGTTTCCACTTAGATTTCCACTAAATGGTGCCATGGGAATCGAACACATCTAATTATTGCATTTTTTCAATCATCAGCCTTGTGATCATCCAATATTGTTTCTAAATTAACACTATGTGAGCAAAGAGTTTTGTTATGCTACAATATTTCTTCAGCAATGTATGCACACTTGTTTATGCAAAAATTGTCTAATTAATAGTCCCTGGGGTTCCAATTTACAATAAAGTCCTTATTTCTTTCTTTAATGCCTCCCAATGAAAAAAATGAGACAGATAAATTATTCTCATTTAAATAGATTTGCAATAACTTCCTGTTATTAACACATAAATTTTTAGTCTTGTTTGTAAATCTTAACGTTCACCAGAAATGCCACGGTAAAGTGTTTGTGGGACAATTTAGACTCCAGATATCCTTGTCTGGATGACATCTGTGTAAGTCTGTTGGCTTAAACAGAACTATGCCCTTAACTGTGACCTTCCCTATGCACTTCAGTAAGCATTAAGGCTATATGATTATATTTTGACTATGTCACGGAGTACCTGCAGAAACAGTGAACAGAATAGATTTGGATGGGAGGAATGTCTTCAGCCAGGCTGTTGGCATTTCCATTATTAATTCTATTTTTTGCTGAAACTTGATAAGCAAACTCTGAGGAATCTATTATTTACTGAAGGAGTTATCCTGCTGTGTTTATGGAGTCATCCAGATTATATCTCTTTCACTATTTTGGCCACATCAACACTGCCTTAACTAACAATTTCCCCATATGAGATTTCACATTGTAATACAGGAAGGGTGGGCTTGGTTTCTACCTCAGTGGAGGCAGGTATAATCAGAATTCACTGGGGAAATCATATTTAAATGGATGATATCATTCTCTCTTCATTGATTTTGATTTAAGTTGCTGCTGCATAGGGCAAAGGAGAAAGAAATCTCCTTTACTGGGCAGAGTGTTTCTGTGACAACCTGTAATGTACATGCATTGCTGTGCCACCAACACCCTCGGTCATCTCACTTAGCTGCAGTAAATCACAGAGTGTGTAGGAAGAAGTGTTAAGGTGGCTAATTACTGTCCATTGCATAATGATTTAAAAATATGTTTTACTACCTCTTGATAGCACAGTAGTACGTTTTTGCTGGTTTTATTCTTACCGGACTTCCCCCTCAAGTCCTTAATTTTGTGATAATATTACCAATACATCTCATGTAAGAAAGATCTTGAACCTCACCTACACTGCAGTGTTTCAGCAGACAGCATTCATCTTATTCCAGCTGAACAAACATTATGTGATGGCAGAGCCATAAATTCATGAACTAAACATAAACCTTTTACAACTAAGAAATAATCAGAAAAGAAAGTGAAGACTTTTTGTCAAAACCAATTTGGATGCAATAATTAATAATGGATCTATTTTGATGCTGCATTGTCTAACTATATGTCATTTTTTGTTGGCAGTTGATGAAAACTGTGAATAAAATGTGCCCGAATATCACAAGAATTTACAACATTGGAAAAAGCAACCAAGGACTAAAGCTGTATGCTGTTGAGATTTCTGACAACCCTGGAGAACACGAAGTTGGTTAGGATTTAATCTAACTAAATCTGTTGAAGGGTGTTGGGATTTGGCTTTTTTTTTTCCCTCCTCATTCTCTCTATCTGCAGTAATTATCACTAATGGAATTATATTCACAGCAGCAAAGATTTCAAATGTATGTAGGAGGAAGTTCAGCGCTGTATTTCTAAATTGGGAAGAGTAGGGTGAGCACAAATAGAAAGCATTTTGAAAGTGGGATCAAATTCTTTAATATAATGAGTTTTATTCTTTGCGATAACAAACTAAAAGTGAATTTTAGTACTGGGAAATGGATTTTAGTTGTGGGGATTTATGTAGCTTTGGATAGAAATTTACCTTTTTCATATGGGGTGAAAGCATTGCAAGAAAGGACAGGTCAAATCTCCTGAATCATATTTCACTGGTGAGTGTTGGGGTACAATTTCCTACAGTGATATAATTCTTCAGAGTAGCAACTTGTTCAGTCTTTGGTCCTTCTGTGGAGAAAAATAAAGATCTCACGATGATGCTGCCTGGGACAGCTGTTCGAATAAAGGCTTCTTGTGCTTTGCCATGCCCATAAATACCCTGATATCTGTCCATCCCACACAAGGAAGCGTGCTTCGACGTCCTCCTAAGACATCTCTACTTTGCCATGAGAGGTGGAGCACAATAGATGTGATCCCTCAGGATACTTGGGGCTGATCTGAGTCTTGGAATCTCAGATGTTAACACCAGAATAATTTATCTAATCTGCCATGTCCACTGACCTATTTTTGAGAGTCCTGCAGAAAACACACAAGGAGTGTATCATGGGCCAGACAAACTGGGAGGATGGATCCAGTCACCAGCCACAGCTTGGCCAGTTAGGGTCTGTCCTGTTGATGTTTGGAAGTGTTACTGATACAAAGGACAACTAAATTATGGGGCTTTTTTTAATAGCTGGCACTATTCCTAATCACCTCTGAAGTATTTTGTAGTTGAGTGTAAGTATTGCGGCATTCAGTATAACCACGAATAATATATGTGAACCTGTTTTTTGAATAGTGAAGGAAAAGGAAGGTATGAAGTCAGAGATCAATTATGTACAGTTACTGACTGTTGTCTTTTAAGAGCCTTAACATCTGTCCTAAAGAACTACTAGCAATGTATTTTCATGTTATTGTTAGACTATCAGAACTTTTAAAATCTGCCTGTAGAATGCTGAAATTGTAAGTAAAATTAAAAATCTGTTTAATGGAAAATAGGTTTTGGAGGTTTTACACAGTGGCTTTAGATATCACTGATATGTAAACCTGTTCTAAAATAGCAACAGAAAGTAATTGTTTGTTTCTGTAAAGTTATATTTTCACCTATAATTTGTTAAGGCATTTCTCCAACTGTCCGTAAGTGAAGTGTTACTGATTGACATCAATGAAATTTGGTTAGATACTTGATTTGCTGCTCTGACTACACTTCTGCTCCATGTGTTTTCAACAGGTGAACCAGAATTTCGGTACATTGCAGGAGCCCATGGGAATGAAGTGCTTGGACGTGAGCTAATCCTTTTGTTAATGCAGTTCATGTGCCAGGAATACTTGGCTGGGAACCCACGCATTGTCCATCTCATTAAGGATACCAGAATCCACCTCCTGCCCTCAGTCAACCCGGATGGATATGACAAGGCCTATAAAGCGGTAATATGATTATGAAAATATCAAGGAATTATTTTACTTCTTTTAGATGAAGGAATCATGGTCCTGTTGTTTGTTTTCAAAGATCATATTTTACAAGCAATCAAAAAAAATTAAAATTAAACACATCAAAGGAAACATAAACCACTGAAACATCTTACTCAAAAAAAAAGCTGAAAGAAATTTTATGTGACATTGGCTAACAGGAAGATGTGTATGGAAAGAAGGGTCAAGAAGACTGCCAGAACAAACCATACTGAGGTGTATAGATCAATGGGAACGCCATTACGGAAAATGGAAAATTCGTGCAGTAGGTTTTTCATGAGAAACCAAGCTAAGCATGTGAAAATTTACATTCCTTCACAGCTGAAATTTAACAGTGCGTCTTTAAGGAGAGCACAATGTGTTGGGCATCATAATAATTCAGTCTGGAAGAAGACAGGCACCAGGAGGAAAAATTGCAGGGGCTGGTGAAATGCACTGGAAAATCTTCCAGGGCAGTCTGTAGAAGACTGGAATACAAAAGTCTCACTCACAGTCGTGGATGGGAATATATGGTATCTCCATTGCACCTCAGGGGTAAAACTGGTTTTAAATAGAAACCTTGAAGACAGACCAGAACATTTTGGCTAACCTCAAGTAATTTTTCATGGGTTTTGCTTCACCTCATTCAAGGTTTCATACAAAATGTAAAAAAGACAATTATTCATTTCAATTAATTAAATAATTCATCCTTCCATTTCTCTGTATAGAATTATCTCTGACACATCCCCAAACAGTTTGTTGAGCTCACATGTTGTCATATTCTGACTGAACATTTATCTTGGTTTTCTTCTTTTTTTCCTTTTTTTTTTAAAAAAAAACCTAAGGGTTCAGAATTAGGGGGCTGGTCTTTAGGACGATGGACTCAGGATGGCATTGACATCAACAATAATTTCCCTGATTTAAACTCTTTGCTCTGGGAGTCAGAAGATCAGAAGAAGAGTAAAAGAAAAGTTCCAAACCATCACATCCCAATCCCCGACTGGTACCTGTCCGAAAACGCCACCGTGAGTAAGGCCAGAGAGAGGGGAACACAAAGGCTGGGGTGTACTGAAAGAGCTTGTGGTGGAAGTTACATACCTGGTCTAAGCTACTTGTCTACTTCCTTGTTAGTCAATGGAAATAAAAATGCATCACAAAAGTACCATTCAGCCCCATATTTTAGAGGCAGCCCTTGGGAAGTGAACTGCTTCCTGGAGGATTCTCTTTTCCCTCGGCTGTTGTGAAAACCTGGAGGACTCGATACCCAACTGTTAGGCAGCAACAGGTAGACAAAGAGAAACCCTGTGGTGTGAATCAGGCTTCTCCCTAGTTTTGTGGCGTAGATGAGCTCTTTGCAAACTCAGTCACCGTACAGATTTCTCCTGGGGTTTTCTTATTTGTTCTTATTTGAAATATATTCTTATCTGAAATAGCACAGCAACTGCTGAGGCATATTGCAAAACCGATGCAGTGGCTTATGTTAAAGTCATTTATTGGATGGTAGTGCCAAAAACTTAACTTATTTTTACATGGCCTTTTAAATATAATGGCAACTATTTCTAGTGGCTGAGATTCCCCCAGTTTGAGGGGAAGGCACTTAACTGTGGCAGTTCTGTGGGCTTTAGAAATATTTCTGTGTTTAACATCCCTTATTTCGAAAACTTGTTTCAGGCGATGGCAGGGGAAGCAGTGTCATGATCTGACATCTCTGTCGGTTGCTGCTCTCGTCCTCACCCACATAGATGTTCCTGCTTCATAAATTACTAACATTAAGGTTTTGTTAGTTTTTATGGGTTGTTGGTGACCTCTCAAGCACGGCTGGCAGGCACCGTAATTTAAAGAAGCCCTTCTCCTTGGCCACATCTCTTGTGCTGGCTATTCACTCCATGCTAAGAAAATCAGAGCAGGACTCCTGCCTCTGGTCTGCCTTTGAAACAAGATTACCAAATTTCACAGGTTGAATCAAAGCTGCTGCTTCTTTTTTCTCCCAGGTGGCAGTTGAGACACGGGCAATAATAGCATGGATGGAAAAAATTCCTTTTGTGCTGGGTGGCAATTTGCAGGGAGGAGAGCTGGTGGTGGCATACCCCTACGACATGGTACGGTCAATGTGGAAAACCCAGGATTACACACCTACCCCAGACGACCACGTCTTTCGCTGGCTTGCGTATTCCTATGCCTCCACTCACCGGCTGATGACAGATGCGAGAAGGAGAGCATGTCACACAGAGGATTTCCAAAAGGAGGATGGCACTGTTAACGGAGCCTCCTGGCATACTGTGGCTGGAAGTAAGTGTCTCTAGAAACTGCAATTAGCGTTACCTTGCTAAATATCATAATGCCATCACTGTCTGGTGTACATTGCAGAGGCAAAGGTGGTAAAACATGCCCTAAGAGGAGTATTTCCCCATCTGAAAGTCTGTTCACTGCATTTCCTCAAGTATCAGAGGACTGAAGGATATTGTGTCATTAATACCTGGTGACCATTTCCTTTGCTACTGAGGTTACCAAAAGCGCACATGCAATACATTAGTTTTATGGATTCTGTACAATCAAGATGGTTTGTCTGGAGAAAACCAACCCAGTCCAAACCCACTAGCAGGGAGGAACCTGTCAGCCTTTGCCATCTGAGAGGGTGCCAACAGAAATCTGCTGCCGAACATCAAAGGTAACCAGTGTCAGAGCTGAAGCAGTGACGCCAGGGAGAGGTTCCAGTGACCCTCAGATAAGAAAAGTCTTGATTTCAGCCTCCTGCTCGCTGAACTTAGTCACAGATCACGTTCACTTTGAGTTGTAAAACCATGCCACAAAAAGCTGCCGCTTGCCTGATACCGTCCTATTTTTAAAAGACCTGGACGTCTTTACACTTCAACTTTGCATGGGCTCCGTAGGCATTTCTGCTGCCAGAATAAATTACAGACTGCAGCATTCACCATTCACCTGTCACCCTGTTAAGGAGCACGAAGGAGAAGCCGTGTCCTGTAGTGCAGACAAAGCATCCATTTCCAGGAAAACCCAATTAGAAGCACATTTTTAACAGCAATGGGCGCAGTTATCTATGGGTGTACATTTCAAGCAGACTCGGAATCAGTCGCTTTGCTGATTCATCACAATTCTGCTCAAAATCTTTGGTTTTTTTTTTATAAGTGCATCAGTTAGACAACATATTCTATGAAATTAAGAAATGAGCTGTGCATCTGCCATCACTTGAATGACAATAGGAGCAACTGCAGCAGTAATGGCAAACAGATGCAAGTGAGCGTCTGGGCAGACCACGTTTTATTGGAGCTGGCTCTTGTTTGTAACTTGTAGGTAGTTTCACTGCATAAACATTTCTAAATTTTGGACATGGCTTTTATGGCTTTTGCATTGGCCTGTGTAAAGTCAGTGCTGGCCAGCTTCTAAAGGCTAAAGCCAAGAATTAACTTTTCAAATATTTTTTCAGGAGGTTAAAAAGTGCTGGGTGAATTGGAGGGGAAAGACTGAACTCTTAGATCAGAAGGCCAATGTCTGACAATACATTTCTATGCATTTCTGCAAATTCTAAAAAAAAAAAAAAAAAAAGCTCTCAATGCTAACTTGATTGCTTAATTATCTAATTTATGAGTTTAATTTTCCTAAGTGCTATAAGGTACATTATTATGAATCGATCCAGAAAAGATGACGTTGGCCCTGTCACTAACAGCTGTCACACTAAGTTAAATTAAGTAATGATTTACAATATTAGATGCTGAATAGTGTCTTGGTTTCTTAATAACAATTGCATATTGGATTTGGTTCATCTGATTTGTTTTATTGCTTTATGATGTTTCTCATTATACTTTACATCCTGCTTTCTTACATTATAGTAAAGCTTCCAAGAGTGTCTTTGAGAAAAATGGTGGAATATTGCTTTTACTTTCAATTCTTTACATCTTGGACTCCAGACTAAACTTCAAAAGATGTGGTTTCCCTTTGAGCTCAGCCTCCAACCTGCAGGATAGTTTTAGACTTGTTCTCCACTCGGACAAATGGAAGGGAGTGATTTGTATTGCAGATGTACATATATTTGTATTGCAGCTGATAGTTAACAAATGGCACCTTGCGTTGTAAAAGGGTTGTCCAAATATGATTCCAGATTTGAAGATGAATTTCTCCTGTATTTTTTCACTCTGCAATTCCATGACTGTACGGATGTAGTTGCGTAGCTGACTCCACTTTCTCTATTTCTTTACCCTTTAGATCAACATTTAACACTTCTCCTAAACCCCTGCTTGCTTAACGTCTGACCTGAAGGTGACACACCAATATATTGCTGGCAGAAAGCTGCCCTGCTTGTCCTTTGGTGTGGGTGGCATCTCCTTGCTGTACCACAGCTTGAAGCTGCCCATCCTCCCTCTCCTCATCCACCGCAGTGGATGCATATACACAGTGATCATACGTATAAACTTTTCACTGCTCATGCCATGGGAAAATTTGTAAGGGATTTTTCTAATTCCTTTTCAGCCCCAGGGAGTCCCTAGAGAAGTATGTGCACCACAGATATCTTGCACAGATATCAAACACCTCTGAATGCCTTTGAAACCCAGCCATACTGTTTCCTGCACATATTTTGGACTTCAATGAATGCAAGTTCTTCCGCAATTTTCCATATAAGGTTTCTGCACTGGGTGAACTGCACAAAGGCAAAGAACAGATGAATTTCATTTTATTTCCAGTGTTTTCAAGGCTGGATTTGCGTGTTCAGACACTACACAGAGAGTTGCTCTTGGCAACGTTAAGCCATTTTCTTAAATACATGTATTAAAACTGAGCAATTACTGTGTATTGCAAAACATTTCACAACAGATTAATCAGGATGCAATACAGTATGTGAAGGGAAAATAATTGTGGCTGTTTCTCAAACGGAGGGGAAGCACATTTATGCAGAGCAGCATATGCCACTGTCTGATATTTAGGTTTTCCCCATCGACAGAAGTGAAAAGCTTAACATCTGTATTATATAATCCTCCTGCTCTGCATCCAGAAGGCACTGAGGGCTCGTTAAATACTTGACTACTGCTCTGTGGTAATTGGAGAGGACTAGGGGGTTTTTTAACTCTTTTCAATCAGAAGCACTTGGTGAATGCATTTCCTGCTAATCTTTACCATTTAAAATATAACAATGATCGTTAATAAACATCTTTTAAAATAATTTTTTATTATAAATGCAGGTGGATTAAGAAATGAAGCTCACATCGTTTCTTCCTCTAGTGTTCATGTACTCTAGCATGTTATCTGTGTGATTATGGAGAACTGATAAATGGAATTTCCCAAAGGAAAAATAATTGTGAGAAATGGGAGAGAAACTTGGAAAATGGAAATGTTTGAGATCTGTATCTAAATACAGTCTTCCTTAGTGCCCAGGGCCTTTGCAAAGGTCACAGCGCTTTCTGTAACGTAGACTTAAACTGCAGCTCCTCAGAGGTCAGAGGCACTGAGGTTTCTGGGTTTTGGTTAGGGCACATGTCTAATGGAAATCCCTATTGCAGAGCGATGGTGCAGATTCCAGTCCTCTGCAAAACCGTAATAGCAAGAAAACAGAATAGATCCTTTCATTCCTTACAAGCTAACAGACACCATATATAACTTAAAAGAATTATCACTACCTTGCTTTTTCTGGCTTTCCTCTCATTTAGATTACTTGCGTGGGAAAGTATTTAGGCTGAGAAACTTTCATCAACTGCTCTGATAAATCACTTTTACATAACAATCACTGTGTGCACTTTACTCTCTATCTTGGCCTTTAGGGTTGTATAAATTTGGTTAGTGGCTGCACATCCATGCAAGCTAACGTAGACCATCCCATTTCTACCCAGGGCAGTCATAACTGAGAGTTGCCCCACTGGAAAGTGTCCAGGATTAGTGAAGCTTAGTGCTTTCTTAAAAGCAAAGCACAAGCTTTTGGCTGTAAAAAGAGACCTTTCCTAACATCTTCCTGGTTATGTCCCCGTCTTCTCCATCAATACCATAGAAACTTTATCTGGAATGTCTTTAATTTGTGTGTTTGGTTGTTTTCTGCTAAATCTCTCTTTGCTTTAAATTTTGTGATGGCAGAAGGACGTTGCTTTTTGCAGCAAAGGAATCAGGGATGTGGTGCTGGGCTGACACAACGGTCCATGCTGTCGTGGTGCAATGTTGTGTCCTCTGTTTTGAATGTGTCGATGAGACCCTATCTTTAGAAAGTCTTGTTTTGTTAAATGTATAGCTCTGATGTTACTCTGGTGCTTTATTACGGGAGATGTGGCATTTCTAAAAAACTTTTGCCTTGCCAGGTCTGCAGACTAAGCCAGCTAGATAAATACCCAGTTAGCGCTTAAATAAGTTATATTACTTTGCATAAAATAATCAGATCTGATCAATAGATTAAAAGAGGATATAAAATAGTTTCTTTTTTACTCCCTATTGACAGGCATCAATGACTTCAGTTATCTGCATACAAACTGCTTCGAGCTATCCATCTATGTTGGCTGTGACAAGTATCCCCATGAGAGCGAGTTGCCTGAAGAATGGGAAAACAACCGCGAGTCCCTGATTGTTTTTATGGAACAGGTATTCGACAGAAGAGTAACTTCTGAATAACTTGATGACCCCTTTCAGATTGAAAGGGAGTTTAAGGTTTCTGATATTTTTCTTGCATGACTCATTACATGATTATTGGGATTTGTGATAGAAACCTTACCTACAAACAATACTGGCATATCACTTCAGCCAGGCTGTTTTAACCTAGAAGAATAAAGCAATGAGGCTTGTTAAAATTTGATGTGAGTGGAGAGCTTGCTAGAAAGCACCACCAGGAAAAAAAAAAACATTACATCTGCTGCTTTATCTGCTTGTTTTAGCTATCTCTTGAACTTGATGCCTCAGGAATCCTAACAGAATTTGTATGTTGACTCACAAGTAGCTAATGCCTGGGAGGCTGATACTGGGTTAATAATGATATTTCAAAATTGTGTGAACCATAAAGTAGTAATATAATACAAGTAATTCACATATGGAATTATTAGTTTGTTGTATCTTCCTAATGATAGTACTGTTCATTGCCGTTCAATATTTATTTGTTTGTTTATTCTCTCAATAGGTCCACCGGGGCATCAAAGGCATAGTAAAAGATGTGCATGGAAAGGGAATCCCAAATGCTGTTATTTCAGTAGAAGGTGTTAATCATGACATTCGCACAGGTAAGAAAACAAACAAACAAACAAAAAAACCAAAAAAAACCCACAACAAAAAACATGAGAGCGGGTGTACAGATGTATGGTTTAAAAACAAAATATAGAACCTCATTGCAACTTTGAACTCTTTTCTGAGAAAAGCCAGCAGGTCATATACAGTCCAAGGAGAGTGTTGCAGGAGTGGCAGATGAGGAGAGAGTCACTTCTTTCCATGGTGCAGCTGCATAGACAGGAACAGAACTATGGCTCTCCTTTCTACCTCTCTTCCTCTTTCCCAATTTTTAAAGTATTGAGCAAATAGCCTTTTATCTGCCCCAAATCAATAGCCTGAGTAAGGCTGTGTAAAGAATCCTTATTGCTCCTTTTCTCATGCAAAGGTAGTGCAAACCTAACCTAGAATAATTATAGCACTGAAAAAAAGGGTGTAGGTAATGCATTGTTGGGCAAAGAGTGTTTCTCTGGCTGCTAACTGTTATAGGACTGTGGATGTGTTGGAGATGTGATTTACAGCTGTGTCCAGAGGAGAAACAGCTTTTGCAGAGAAAGGGGAGTTTCACAACCTGAAAAGTCTCCTGCGAAACATCACAGCTTTATAAAAGATTCTTTAACGGGGCTCAGTAGAAACACTGCTTTGCACAGGTGGCTTTCAGCCCAAAGAACTATTTTTCAACATGAATAATTTTAAAAAAACCTGCACAAATGCCTATTTGCCTTGTTAGAACAGTCTTGACCTATACCCAGACACAGGTATGTATACTCAGAGTAAACTCTAAGCCTGCTTAATGGCCTAGAAAGTAGTCATGGCATTAAATAAAGAACTGCTTTAAATAGACACTGGCTAATTACAAGGTTAATAGTAATACCTGAAAATTGTTGTTGGCAGGCAGCGGGTGGGATAGTGTCCAATGGCCATTGTGTTTGTGGAGTTCCTGTACCGTGATTTAAGACATACAGTCATCTTAAATGGAGAAACAACAGAGGGGATGTAGCAAGGAGAGGAGCATGTGGAAAGAAATAGCAAACCAAGACGTCAGCAGGAGTCTTTAGTGATTGCACTCAAAGTGCTGGTTGCAAGAAGTTAACAAGCTTTCTGTTGGGTGTTTATGGAAAAGTAGCATCATGGTGAATAATCAGACAAATCATACTGTTGCGTACTCTAGTTCAATATTAGAAAGAGGAACACTAATTTTATGTACTGTTTATGTCCTGACTGGCATTCTGGGTCTTTCATTTGCTGCCACTTTCACGTGCGTTGCCACTGAGGTACAGGATGGCGGACTTAGACACATAAACTGATGTCAGGCTATGGAATATCATACAGCTTTAGATAAGAGACCTCCAAATATTTAATATCTGCTACACTAGATTATCTGAGCCAATAATAAATCTTGGAATATCTAAGTTAGTTTATGACTAATTTTATTTCAGTGCTACTGTGTCTCTGTTGTAAATGAAAACATGGAGTGACAGATATTTAATTAGGCAATAGTGATTCTGCCTTGAATATTTCAAACTGGGACCACTGGGAAATGATAGCAGGAATTAAAGTAATCAGTTGTTTTTCCTTGTGTTGGAAGTCTTAGCAGTCTTGAAAGACTGCCCTAAAACATAGATTATATTACTCTGTTAACAGAATTAATACATTGCTCTGGTTGAGGCTGAGTAAATGCAATAGGTGATTCATCTCCAGCTCTCACTACACTGGATTGACACATGAAAGAAAAATCAGCAGTTTAAAGACAGCAAATGTGCATATGGAAAGGAGTCCCAGTGGCATGTGTAATAACTTAACCCCACACACCAGTCCAGGCTGGGGGATAACCTGCTGGAGAGCAGCCTGGTGGAGAAGGACCTGGGAGTGCTGGAGGACAACAAGTTGCCCATGAACCATCAATGTGCCTTCGTGGTCAAGAAGGCCAA